TTGTTTGTAAAACATAGCATAAACCCCTAAAACTAAAAGTGTTGTTACTGACTAGAAAATAATCCTTTGAGACTTTTTTACACATGGCATGCGTTGATAAACTTGGAAATGATAACAGCAGTTGCATTTGAAGTTCGGCTATCTGTGTCTTTTAAAAAAATTGATTGGCAATTGAAAGTTATTGCATTCTTGTGCGCCAGCTACTGAATTTGGCCGGAGTTTTGTGAGAGCTGTCAGTTGTTAATTTTTTTAAACATTGATATCCATAAATGATAGCCTAGATAGGTGGGTATCTTGCTGTGACATGTATCAGAAGACCATTTTTAATATGAATTAGTTACACTGTATTATTCTATTCATCAGATAACCCTGTCAAAAGATAAATGTTACAATTCCTTACTGTTTCAATGTATTTTCAGGACATTTTTAACCTTAATTAAATTACAGGATAAACCCATTTTGAAATATTTGTCTTAAACACATAAAAAGGTGTGTCCACCCAAAAAGACGTACATCATTTTTTAAAAGCAAAACAATAGTTTTGCAAACTATGAATTTGACTGAGACATGTTTTTCAGTAAACGTTTTGTGTGACTGTGAAATGGACAAAATTCAGTTGAAGTATATTGTTAACCTAATTAAAATCAACTCTCTTTACTTTTGATAACAAAGTAGCCATCAAAAATATGCCATCGCCTTTAAATGTAGAATGAATTAGTGAACTTCGCTGCAGTTTGCCAAGAATAAACATTTTCCATTTTACTCGAAATATTTACAGTCAAATAGTTTGCAACTATGAATTACCACATGTTTTTGGGTTCAGATATTAAATTCATCACATAGATATTTCTTTACATAATTTCTGCGAAAAGTATTATTTACATAATTATTGAACATTTAATATTTTTAACTACAGTGTGTGTGTGAGGTAGAGAATTGATCTTTAAGTTCGCAGATTAATTAATGGTGGATATACATTAATTTTATTGTGATTTCTCTCAAATACAAGTCTTCTACCTTACTTTCCTTTGGATTATTAACACTCTAAAGTGTTTTAGTTTGTCATTCATCTCATCTATTCAGTTCATATAGATTCAGTTCTAAATCGTTCGTAATTTGAAAATTATAGTGCTCAGTCGCATAATTATAAAAGTAATCCTACTATTTATTTGTATTTCTTTCATGTATGTGTTGAAATTTCTTTGAAACAACGAAGAAATAACATTGTTCAACAATAATAATACATGCTAAACGAATCAATCATGCAAAATATTGTTTCTCACGAACATTTTTTCTGCTTATTCAATAAATAATAAGACATCCGTTATTATTTTGAATATTGATTCACTTATATATTTAACTCTTGAGAATGATAATAGATGATTTTGATTGAGGAGGTTAGAGGATTTATAGAAAATATATACTCTTGAGTGGTTAATAACGTAGAAATATTATAATGCAGAGTTATAATATTATTATCTCGGTAAATTCGTGATTCTAGTGAGGCTTTCTAAATATTATGTTAGCATTAAAATGTCATTTAAATTCAGTGACTTCCTTAAGTCTTTACGTGCCATTTTGTGAGTCAGGACATAAAGTGAACATTATAGCTTAAAGATATGATGTGGAGTTTAGAATTTACGATTATATTTATTTATATTTATAACTGCGGTTATAACTTAGGACTCAGTTTCAGAGTCAGGGGAAAAGATGTAGATTCTGTAGTACAGTTAATCTGTAAGCGCCTTACCGATAACTCATAACTAAGTATCTAATAATAGTTAAGTTATTTTCAATTAGAGTTATAGAGATTAGTGTTTTTAAACATTTGAAATCATCAATCAATCAATTTTAGACTACTATTAGAAACCTGGAGGCACTAGATGGCCGTTTCGTCCTGGTATGGGACTCATCAGCAGTGCGCATCCCATACCAGGACGAAATGGCCGTCCAGTGCTTTCAGGTTTCTAATGGTGTTCTAACAACGATTGATTGATAATTTCAAATGTGTAAAGAAATAGCTAAGTTTCTGGAACTAAAATATTTATGTTATACATACATTTTGATGCTATATATGGGTTGTAACTTTCAAAAAAATTTCAACATTCATCATTCTCTCAGTCTCATGTTTCAGCTGAATCAGTAGACATTGTCCGTAACCATAAAATGCTAGAACTTTTAGGATGCATTTCTATAAATAGATTATGCAGTGTGTGACATCTCTAATTAACTGTATCAGTCCCTGAACTCAGAATATTCAGTGAAATAGTTGATTTTGTCAACTGATTTGTCTGTTTTGAAAGTTTTATCAGCCCTGATGGATTGGCGTGTTAGGTAAATCCCGGTATAATTTTGGAAAACCCGGTTGAATTCCGCCAACATACGTCACTGGTAGCCTAGGCAACATATCCGTATCAAACCAAAGTATACTACTGGACAGTACACTCCATTTAAATTCATAAATATGCAACGTGGATCGTAAAAATAGAGCATATTCTCAGGTGAATTGTATCCTATCGCAGGTGTCATCAAGCACTGCTTGTATATTTTAAGGTTGTGGGGTTAGCTTTTTTGAGTTTTAGACGCAGAATAATTATTAAACATGGCCAAACTTTGACGAAGTTGTGAACCTCTATCGGCAGATATATCTGAGACATCTATAACGTAAGCACAGCTACTAGATACCTTGACTCACGACAATATCTAGTGTACAAATAGGTTTAAAGAAAGCTAGAGGTGGTGGAACCAAGTCACGGTATCACAGTTTAATGTCACTGACCTTTGTACTGAGCCACGTAAGTATCTGTAAGCTCGATGTCTAGGGTTCATGTGATCACTGAAACCAATGGTTGTTATCACATAACACATAATCGTTCACCATAGCACAGACGCACTAACTGTTTCAATTCACTTCGATCCTAATTTTTTTTTAATTTTTCTTAATTTTTTTAGTATCTTAGGTGCCTAACCGTTTCTATTATCAATAAAATTAATACTACATCTGATGATCGATGATTTTATCGGATAATCTATTCTCATTGTACTAAGGCAGTATGACAACATGAACATATGTACCCAAATTGCGTTTAACCGGTTGACGAACTAATTAACTGATTTATTGAAGCTATGTAGTCGTATATAGCCTCAAAAAATCAGTGAATGATGTCCTTAAATTAAACGTATTGTTCATTAATCAATTCTTGTTTAAACGTTTATCGAATGAAACATACTGGCTTAGTAATTTACATGTCTCTTTAAGTCAGTCAGTCAGTCGTACCTACGTACATCAGTTCAAGTTGTCATATCATACTAGCATAGAGATGCAATTGTTACTGTTTAAGGAAGCATTTGGTATTTAGTTGGCTGTTTGAGTAAACACTAAATGTTTTATATATGCATACCAAATAATCATGAAATATACATATAATAAAACCTTCAAAATTGAAAGCACAGATTTAGCCAAATATCAAAACGGAAGGCTACACGCTAAGAAGTGATATGATCTCTTTAAAAAAAATTTAACTAACTAACAGCATTCAAAAATAGAGCATTATAGGAATTTCTTAGAATAAAATTCGTAATTATTTAGAACTATAAGCATTGATTATCCCATGATGTGGTCACTTTCGTCAATAATGGCTTTCATACATTAACCTTGCCCACATAATAAATTTTTATCGAATTCATTTCCTAGTTAAAAAATGGCAGTAGAGAAACTTTATCATTTAGGAAATTTTACTTCAAATTTTATCATTTAATATTTTTTTCTAGAGAGTAAGTTTCGCCATTTTTAAGTTTTTTTTTCTAAAAGGAAAAAAACAAACTAATCAATGAATATTTAAACGAAGTAAATTAACCTTTGTAGTAATGAATTTATTTACGCATGAGAACACTTGTCGCTCATAAATGCATTATAGCATAAATGAATTTATATACTATAAAATGGATATTTCTATTATCGAAACAAAATATTGATAAATATGAATGATATAATTTTTTTTATTTATATTCATCCTAAACAAAAATTTTGAAACAATTCATCATTTCATGTTCTCTTGAAGAAACAATGAAATAGTTATTATTACTGAGAAATAAGTAAGAATGAAACTAAATACGAGCATTAGGATACAGGTGTTGATATAATTCATCTTTATTAGCTGTTTGAATGCTACCACTTATCTTTCGTACTACAATTGACCAGTCTCTTTGGCATATGTGCATCCTCTGTGAATCGCCTCGATATCGGCTTCAGTTTACATTCAATACTATTAGCAAAGATGGATAGTGGTTAATAGTGGGATCCAAGTAGCTCGTTTCTTGGTTATATGGATTCAGTAGCTGAGTGGATATCGCGATAACCGTTGAAATGAAGGGTGGTTGGTTCGAGTCTCGGAGTGAATATTAACTCTGAGATTCAGGTTGACCAGTCCCAAAAAGGACGAAACTTGAGTCCTGTATTTCACTGTTGGTCACTATCCCTATGCAAATACGTGTTAATACAGTTATACTATATAATCAATGGTTAAGCATATACATCTTAAATCTATGAAAGGCTAGAAATTTTCTTCGTATGAACATTTGTACACGTAAGATAAATTATGCTTATTTCTTTCCAAGCAAACAAGTATCATAGGAAGAAAAGCGGTGGATTAAAACCAAATTAGCTACAAAAATGAGTAGCAACTATTACATTGGACGATGTTTATTCAATGCTGTAAAAATACTTGAAGTTGAAATTGTGAATAATCGCATTCAAACACAATTGACAGAGAGATAAGGTTCACACTACGAGATCTTACGACATTCTGTTATGTTTTTAACGAGAGCTAGGGTTGTCTATTGTTGAGAAATCATAAATAGCACTTTCTTTTTGATAGTTTATAGGCTGGATGTAGTTAGTGATGCATTTTAAAAGTTGAATGGTTTTCATAAATCTTCGTCATCAAAAAGTCTTTCTAATCAATCATTTGTTGTATTGAATTTTGTTAATAATTTTTTAGGTCCAGCAAAAATTATCCATCCGCCACTTGATACAAAAGCAATCGCTGGAGAATCAGTTTTATTCTTTTGTCAAGCTGAAGGTAATCCTGTTCCTAGAGTTGTATTTCGTTGGAATGATGATGAAATCACTCAAAACCGACCAGGTTTGCAATTTAAAGAGTTATCAGCAGATGCTGTTGCTCTTCGTGCAAAACTAGAACCGAATCACCACGGTGACACTGTAACGTGTTTCGCACAAAACCATATTGGATCCGATTCAGCTACAGCACAAATTTCTGTTTACAATGCCAATGAAAGTGAGTTTAAAAAAAAAACTGATTCTTCTCTGTGCTTTATTTCATACTCATTTTGTCATTATTAATATTAAACTTTGTCTATAGATTGAAATGAAAGTGTCACTGATAAATTGTTATGATATTCATACGTTATCTACATCAATGCTTTGATACAGGTATTCGAGTTATTCTGCTCAGTTACCTTAAACTCATAATAATAGTCATGCAAAAATCATACCCATCAAACCATTTTGAGGTTATCTGGGCTCAATAGCTCAGTGGATACTACGTCAGACAGATGAGATTGAAAAGCACTATGTTTGGATTGTAATAACATTAGAATATAGGTACATCCGATTGACAAGTCTTGATGAAGACGAAAATTGCTTCTCAAGTTTCAGTGATAATCGAAATTCATCTGCATTCATGTTGCGGATTGTGAATCTCCCCTAATTATTGTTAGTATAATTAACCACATTTTGAGACTAAAGTTCGACAAATAGCGACAGTAATTATCATGCTTGATTTTTCAATAAGATATTATTTATTTACGAATACAGTTCTTTTTTTCATGATAGTACATTGTTATTAAATTTTTTGAAAAAAATCAAAATAGCATTTGTATGCCGAAAATCAAACGATATTTAGTGATGTTCGAATCGTCACAGGATGTAATAATAATAATGATAATAATACTGTATTATTGTACAAATAACCCATACCACTATTCAGAAATTATTATGAATTCACATAAATTAATTAAATATCTTTCAATAATTCATGAAATTGTTTTGTTTTTGGAATCGAAATCTATTTTGCTAAATGAATTATAAATGTGTACCTCCTACATAGAAAATTAGAGTTACGCCAAAAGATGTGTACTGTATTGTAGTTAAAAAATTTTATTCATTCATTATATATTCTTTTTGTATGTAAAACTATTCGACTGGACAGGGAAGGAGAAGCTTAATTATTACAGAAAAATAAATAGAAATCAATGTTTCATCATTCAGTAGAGTATTGGTTATTTTCTAACTCATTTTGTCAGCATAAAAAAATGTTCATGACAATCTTATTTACTGGGAAGAATTGTTGTAGTATTCATCGCTCTTTTTTAACCAAATCATTTACATAACGAGCTGTATACATGAGAATCTCAAAGTGTTGAATAATGAATATCATAGAAATAATTTAATGAATATGTCAGATTTATTGAGAGAGAGAGACAGACAGAGAAAAGACACAGAAAAATTACTCTGTTTTAATTTTTATGCGAAAAGATATCAGGATATAATAATTAAAATAATATACGAATTTCTCAAAAAGGTATTTGACCAACTTGACAGAATAAAGCAACCTTTCCAAATGAAATGAATGTCTACCTGAAAGATTCCATATTCTATTACATAATCTTATATTCTGTCGACTATTATGGAATCATACAATTTTATGTGTGTGATAAATTGGCATTCGAAATGCTGGAAAGAAAGTAGGCACCTCAAATGACGATAGTCTGGAAACGTTGAATATTTATTTTTATCATAGTATTAGGCTTTACTAAGGATTGTCATTGTAGATGATCTCTTGTACATGTCACCGAAAAATCAAATCAGTTCAAAAAATGTCCTATTTCTTAATTCTTTTTTATCGGCTAATATCAGTCAGTCAGTCAGATGCAACGTAGAACTTCGTACGTGAGTACATTAGTTCTTGTTGCCATACCACATCAGCACAGAGATGTAATTGTCAATTCAAAACCAATAGTGATAGAGGTAGTAAAGGTATTAGAAGTAATCGGAGAGGTTAGGATTAGAAGATATTACTCAAGAAGTATGATTCAGTGAGATAAGTTTAGAAAGACAAAGCTAGAGGTGTTGAAGAATCCAGAAGATTGGGATTTGAGAGAACACAAAGAATAAATGCACCTGCGTCATTGCGAACGGTTTTGAGCCATGTCATTCAGGGTCTCTGACCATCGATTATTATCATCTCGCGGACCCCAACCAGGTAGACGACATCCACCAAAATGACTCACTACACTTGTCAATGACTTCATGGATTTGTGCCGTGTTTTGGTCTGACCGCCCCTAACTTTCTTCCGACCTATTCCTACACTATAAAACAAAGCTCGTCGAGACAGTCGGTGGTTAGGCATACACAGCAGATGTCCCAACCACCTCAACTGATGAAGTTTCATTGTTTCATCTATTGATCTGCCATACTTACCTCGCACCCGTTTCCTAATAACAGCGTTGCTCACTCGGGTGTCCTAGGGTATACGAGCGATCCTTCAAAGACACCTATGATTGAAAACCAGTAACCTACGAATATCTTCTACTCTCACTGGCCAAGCCAATCGAGCTTTCTGTATCCGAGTTGAGATTTCGTCAGTCACCAGGCCATCAGCACTGACGAGACTCCCAAGATAAGTGAAGCGGTCACTTCCTATCACTAGTTCAGGTTTCAATGCAACCCAATCTTGAAGAAACATTTTGCATTCCGAAGGTGAGAACCGCATCCCGAACATGTTTGCATTGTTGCTTATGGTAGTCAGAAGACTCTTCATTTTGTCAGCGTCCTCACCAAGTAGGACTATGTCATCGGCATATTGTAAGTCGATAGGCGAGCCTCATGGTAAAAAATCTACTCCTGAAAATTCAGACGAGGATAAGGTTATTTCTAGGAGCATTTCTATGATAAAATTAAACAAGAATGGACAGAGTGAACAGCCCTGATGGACACCACTTGATGTAGAGAATTCAGATGAGTTCGCCATAAGCTCTCTCTCTCGACCAGTACTGTTCGAGTAGAGAGCTTGTATAAGGTTAATGTACTTCTTCGGTACACCTTTCAATGACAGACACTGCCACAGAACCTCACGATCCACTGAGTCGAATGCCGCCTTTAGGTCCAGGAACACAGCTATTGTAGGACGCCTAAATGTAAGTTTGTGTTCCAGGACCTGTCGTAGTGTGAAGATGTGGTCTATACAACCACGTCCAGGTCGAAAACCAGCCTGGTTTTCTCTAGTCTGCTCTTCATGAGCTTTCGTTAAGCGTCAGAGTATTATTGAGACCAATATTTTAGAGACTATATTAGCTAGACTTATTCCCCTGTGATTGTTACAAGAAGACTTTTGTCTGTTCATAAAGATTGGGACAATCAGTGATTGAGACCAGTCGGATGGGATTATGTCCATTTCCCAGATTCTACCTAAGATCTCAGTCAATCTAGCTGCTAAAACTCGACCACCATCCTTAAATATCTTAGGGATCAGTCTCTCAGGACCTGCAGCTTGCCATCACTTCAGATTTCCTAACGCTTTCTCAACTTCATAAAGACCAAGTGGACTTGCGTCGGTTTGCCATTCAGGATGACTGGAGATCGTGGTTGACCGAAGAGTGGCTCGAGGAGAGTTGAACTGATTCCTAAAGTGTTTTGCCCATCGATCCAGTCTCCTGGATTGAGAATGGATAATAAGACCATCCTTTTCTGAAATAGTCTCACTCACATTTGGGTTCCTAAAACCAGTTTCCTTGATGAGTCTAAATAGTTGCCTACTGTTGATTATCGCCGCTGTATTGTCCATCGCTTTTGCTTTCTCCACCCATCACTGTTCGCGATGATAGCGTAGGCTTTTGATCAGCCTGCGCTTAAGTTGACTTCTTCTTCATCACGTTCAGAGGCAGGTGGGATGAGTTTTCGAGCATCCACCAGTTCGGTAGATGCTACTGAGATCCACGGCTTCATTCTAGCCTTATGGTTTCCATTACTAGCTGATATCACTGCTGTTTCCACATTTATATTGTGAGGAATCTCCAACCTCTTAAATTTGTTTGTGTAGTACAGTACTATCATACATTGATGAATGATATATTAAAGTTATACTCACAGTCATTGATATAGCTACCATGTTAAAATAGTAAATACTTCGAGATTATATCAAGTGAATATAACTGATTAGATATCATTAGCACAATGAGAAAAGTGAATGTATAATAAAAAATGAAATGAAGAAAAAAGCCACATGGTATACTACGAACAGATATTTTTAAATTCTTATTGATAATATTTATTTATGATGTAGACCTTCATAATGATCATGAAAATCCGGAAATTCACACACCTGCTAAAATGAATTTTCCTAGATAAACAGTGAAAGTATGATTAAATTTTCATCATTTGTCTAATTTAAGTCTTTACATATTTTTTGAAACATTTTAATAAATTGAAAAATCAACTAAATTGTGTTCATTGGATTGTAAAAAATTAATTCATTTTACAGTGTTCAATTTTCAATTTCATGAGCGATGACCATTCTCTTAAAAGTCGATTTTTGTCATTGATCGTCAGTTGGAAAAAAATGAACACATCAGGCATTGATTTAGTCTTTTGTTTAACATGTGTGGGATATTTCCATTAGCGATAAGCATTTCCAAATTAATTTTTAAATACATTAGCATTGCATTAGCAGGCAACTTTTAATGATCCTTGTTAAAGCATAAATTAACTGCATAATTTTTTTTTAAAACAATTCACTCACACTAGAGTCTAAAATCTTTTTCATTACTAGTTTTTTTTTCTTTGCTATTGACTTCATCAATCAAACCTCCTCATTGTTGTTGGAAAAGTGATACTAATGGAAATAATTTTTCGAAAAACCAAAAAAATCTTTCTCTATTCATAAAGAACACAGCTTTTTTTCATCGTCAAATAATTTCCCAATTTATTTGTCTCAAATTTCAATATTTTTTTTCTTCTGCTTGTTTAAGTTTTTATATGAACAAGTTTGTGTTTAATTTGATTTTACAAGTTAACATTGGTCAGTCCACAAGATCGATAGTTTTTATGTTTAATGCCTAAAGGGTTCATGAATTTGCAGTTCATACTACAACACAACGCCTTACTAAGTTCTTTCTGACTTTTAGTTACTGTTCATTTAAGATTAGTGTGTGAAGTCATCTGTGAAAATTCAACAATTTTCATTCAAAAATATGATTCATAAACTGTTTTGTAATGGT